GAAACTCCCAACCACAGATCCAGCTTCCACAGCTCTAGGAACACCTGCAGGAAGTAATAGGAGGAGGATCCCAACCACAGATCCAGACCCCACGAGGAGAGAAGAGAGGGACAAGAAAGCACAGGACTATGGGAAAGAGTCAAGTTAGTAACCTGCCTTCACGGAATGAGGCTGAACTGGGAGGGAGAGAGAGAAACAAAAGGGGAGCTAAGTGCATCATGGGAAATTCCCCAGAGGGCCAGTTGAAACCTCCCAGATATTTTGGTCTTTAAACCAGAGGGTCCACTGAGACTTGAACTCAGATTGCTGGATTCAAAGCCCAGAGTGCTGACCATTACACCATGGAACCCTTTAGTTTAGTTAGAGTACCAACCCTCTGCTAGTAGAGCATCCATCTCCATCCTGCCTCCCTGTCATACTGTAGAATACGTTGATAGTAGTAACAGGCTTAAAACAGCTGGAAATAGCTCAGCTGGAGAGCATTGGACTGAAGATCTTAAGATCCTTTGTTCAGTCCTGGGTTTCAGCAGAAGAACGAAAACATGTCATTGGAATGTAAACAGTGTAATGTATAACAGACTCATCCTCCTGGTGTAAGACAGAATGACAAAGAAAGTCCTTTCTGCCTCTGGCCATCAGACTGTGTAACTCATCCCCTTCAGGTGGTGATAGAGATAGTCAGAACCTCCTGAGGCCAAAAGAAGACCTCATCCAATGTCACCTGTCCAACTCACTGGATTGATTATCCTCTGTAACTTGAACTGCTGGATGGTTATTTCCTCTGGAATAAATAACGTTGTCTTCAGGGCTTGTCTTCAGGGCTTGTCTTCAGTCGGTGCGCATGCCCAGCAGACCTGTCTTAAACACACATCTTCAGAAGCATCTCTGGATCAACAGCCCCCCCAACCCTCTGATGTCCTGCCCACACTGGTACACAGCAGCACATCAGGGAAAGGTGTTGGACTTGAATTCATTTCATTTCAAAAAGGGAAACCTTCATAGGCAACTGTCCACTTCATGCAGTGAATGGTTATCATTTTCACGGTATTCATTTTCATACATCATGGGAACACCCGTTGTCATGGCAACACCCGTTGTAAAACTTTATTGACTGCTGCCATCTCACAGTTTTTTGGGGG